GTGTGAGTCTGAGGCTTGGCTTAATTTAGCAGGTGTGCTTTGACAGTTCTTGAATGAGAGCCAAGGCTGCTGTTAGAAGGATAAGAAAGTGGAGGTGCTCAGACTGCATCTGTGTGGAGCTTGACTGTGACAGATGGGGACGGTTTAACTTATAGAGTTCTGTTAAGATCTGTAGGTTTTCTCTGAAGCTGTCTGTGCCAAACAGGTGTGTATTCTAAAAACACCACAGAGAGGAAAAAGGTGAACAAGCCTCCACTGACGTATTTGTTTGTTAGTGGTGGAAGGAGGCTTTGCTTTTCCAGAGTCTTTGTGTAGGCTCATGATTGTGCTCAGATCTGTCTTTTGAAGACAAAAGGGACCCTTTGTTGTTTAAGAATGGAAATGAATTCCCACCAACTCTTTGCTGTGAAAGGCATGACCATAATACAGTACATATAAATGTCACCCTATGCACCTTCCTTGCAAGAAATTATCTGAGAGTAAAAGGATGATTCCGATATAAATAAAAGTAAAAAATTTCATGATTAATATCTAACTATCCTGTAGCTGTTAAGATAGTCAAGTGGTTTGATAGGAAGTTTTTCTTCAAATGTTACATGATTTTGCTCGCATATGTCGGCTTAAACAGCTACTGTTTAGTAACGGCTGCACAGTTGAAAAGTTCAGGCAGTTAGCGGTGGCCAGGTGTCTCACAGGCGGGCAAGACGTTCCACCATATGCCTGCTTCTCGCCACCAGACGCCAGTCGTCGCAACCACTGACTTTCACATGCTGTGCTCTCAGTGCACAAGGAGAAAACTTGCTTTGAGCTCCACCAGCTTGTGTGTTTACACTCATGGAAGAGTGAAACTTACCCAGTCAGTGTTGAGAATTAATACAGAACAATTAATAACCTAGCCAGGAAACAAGAATGACTGATTTGAATGCATTTCTGCAGGATTTATGACCCACCAGCAAATGTATATTATTTTGCTTCTCTCCTGCATGCTGATTGGAGGTTTAAAGCAGTAATGAAGTGCTGATGTGTCCCCCTGCTGGGTTTGTATTTGGTGAGGGGTGCCTGTGTGTTGCTGATAGAAGGATCTCTGTGACACGGCTGCTCTAGCCCGCCGCATCTGGAAGCCAGTAGCAGCAGCCGCTGGGGGGAGATAAGGCAAGGCTAGTTGCTCTCCTGTAACTCACGTTTCTGCCTCCCTCTGCCCCATCCTCTTTCTCCTTCTCCGTTCCTCCCTCATAACATCCTCTCTCCCATCACCCCCCCAACGACCTTATCTCGAGGGAGAAGGCACGAATGGGTCGCTGCTGTGATAGCACCTGCCAGAACCAGAGCTGGTCTCTGGTGATTATGTGGAGAATCATTATCTTCTTCTCCCCAAAAACTAATTTTATACCTGCCAACATCTGAGGGGAGGCGAGGGGAGGAGCAGCAAGGGAGCAAAAGGCTTCACTAACAGGTATGGTAGAAACTGCGTTTGTGTGAAAAAAAACATTTTCAGGTGTGTATAAAACGGAAAAGTTCCAGCTAAAGAAGCAAAAAGTAAAAAACATGCAGCAAAACACCTTTAGAAATGTCCCCCTCTTTCTCTCTATACATGTATACATAAAATCTTACCATCAGACTTTTCACACTTTCACTAACCTAAAATATGAGCCAAAATCTTACTTATATTTTCTCATGGGAAGTTTATTTCTGCAGAACAAGATGTTTAGCATCAAGAAATTATTAGTTGTTGTAAAGACTAACATTATGCTCCTTAAGGAGGAAGGCAAGTTCATCAAATGGCATGTTTTAGCAGGAAATACATTTAAAGTGCTGTACATCAGGAAAAAAATAAAAATAAATGAACATTACAGCAGCATATAGAAATCACAAATAAGTTTTAAAAAATCTATAATATAAAGAAGAAATAAGAGATAAAATTATTTTTTTTAAAAATGGTATGAAAGGTGGATTTAAATATAATTTAGAGCAACTAAAGGTTTTAGCGCCTTTTCACTTTTCTAGTGGAGCATAAGAACTAAATGCTTCTCCATGTTTGGTTCTAGGTATATAAAGTAGATTAAAGCAATAAGACTGTAGAGGTCTGCTCTGTCGATATAGTGACAACAAGTCTATAATGTATTTTGGAGTGAGACATTTAGTGATTTATAGCTCATGATAATTATTTTAGCCTATTTTCTAAGATACAAGAAGCAAGTGTAATAATTTTAAAACTGAGGTGATGTTCTTCACCTTCTTTGTTTTGGTGAGGATGCAGGCAGCAGCATTCTGGATTTTTCAATAGTAAAAAACACTAAAATGAAATTCATTCTCACCCATCTCTTTTAAAGAGCTGTTTGTTTTGCACAACAATTATTTTATCTCTTTAAATAAGTAATGATTAATCCACTATTTGTTCTTTCCTTGAATAAACATTGTGAGAACCAAAAATGTAAACTTTCTTTCTCTCTAATCTATTATCTACAGCTATTCTGTTTTCCTCTTTTTGTTAGTTGATTACCCTCAGTTTAAATTTCTTTTCTTAGAAGTTTTACAATCTAAGATCAAATACTTTTTACTTTGCTTTCTTTGTTGTGTCTGTTTTTTCTCATTCTGTTTTTTTTTTATTTTTTTTTATATGTTTTGTAGTTGGCTCTTTCTTCCATTATGTTCTGTTTTGGGTAAAATCACTTTCTTTAGCCCTTATTGTAAGAAAAGGGCATTTTAACATAGACCTTTTTTCCCCGAGAATACTCCAAGCACAATAGCAAGTGATTTAGCTTAAAGAAAAAAAGTAAAACATATTCTAAAGTCTTAATCACATATATATTAATCTTATTTACACTTATTTATAACCCATGTAACCCTAAGGTGGGGAATTCCAATGATTCAAATAAAAAAGATACATCTCAAAACTACCCACTTTTCATGAGCTACACATTCTGAGGGTTTATAGAGAAATCAGTTCTCTGTCTCTGCACCTACCCTCCCACACCCAAATACTGAGAAAGCCACATCAGTTTCTCTCACTTCCTCTCTGCTTCTGACCATCTGTGTGTTGGTTTCAGCGAGGAGTTTGGCACATCTGTGTGCTAACATCCCGTCTCACTTCTCTGATCCAAGCAGCCCTAGTAGCAATACAAACTTGTGACAGAGCCGCTGCTTCTGATTACTGTCGTCACACAGACACACTCTCTCTATTACTCTATGTGTATAATAGGGTCAAAGGTGGAGAAATTGATAATTACATGAGGGACGGCAGTTCTGATAATCAGATGGCATGATAACCATGAGAAGAAACCCTTTTGTTTTAGTTTTACAGCAGATGTTTTACACAACAGAAATATATTTCAGATCTAAGATTACGTAGAACCATTATTAGATAATAATAGCTCTAATAATAGTGTATAGTTATTTTTTACTCCAACAGGAATGTGATTGAAGACAGATGAGAGTTTTGACCGGATATATCTGGGAGTTATTTTATGTTTAAGCTTTTTTCTGTTTTAATTCAAATGTTTGGTGTAAGGTCAACCCCAAAATTTTCTATAAAAAATTAGACAAATTAATTAGGTATCATTCAGTCTTAGAATGTGAATTTGAATACATTTTAAAAACTTTATCTGCTTCTTAAGCAAAGCAAATAGCAAGAAGAAATTATCAGGAGGAATATGTTATTGCATAATATGAGCTATTATGAAATAAAAACTAATATTTGGTGAAAGGGGATTTCCCCCATCAAGCTCTTCCTAGCAAAACCAATGTGAGATCCTGAAGGTCCTGAGTCATCCCTCTTCTTTCAGCAGCTTTGTTTTACAGGAACCTGCCACAATGAAAATATTGGTTCCCGTTTAAGAATATATGAAAAATATCAAACACTGGAAAGAACTCATAGAAACTAAAGAAAGGTTATTCCCAAAAGTAAGAAGCAGTCAAACAGTAGATATCAAACCAAGGATCCCATCACAATTATATAATAAAGTATGGTGGAAAATGTCTGCCAGTAATACTGTAAAATTCAGCATATATCGTATATTATCATTTTCTATGCTTGCATTTGAATGTACTTCTGTTTAAAAAACAAATAATGTTTACAAAAGAAGGTGAGAAGTAAAATAAACTTTTTACTTTTTAAAAAATGTGTACATTTACAATAATTTTCTCATTTTAATTTCACGATTTGAGGTTTTACTTAAATGTTTCAGCTGTCAATGATCATCAATTTGCCTTAACATTAAGTGCCTGTTACAGTGTAGATTTACCTTGCAAAAAAAAGTTATCTTACAGATTGAGATCATATAAATGTATCAGTTTACTTTGTCCCCCTTTTAAATCAATCAGATGAACAAGAGATTATGCAAAAACCTTTCTGATATCCTAACTTCACACATATTTGACTGCCTATTTAAAACACTTTGGGAAAGAAAAGTTCTCATTTCATTTTCTTATCATGATTCAGTCATTTGACTCCTTTATTCTCTGATTCAGAAGTTAGGGAGCCTTGTATTCTTTTTGTCAGCTATGGTCCACAAAATACAAACTATAGAGACGTTGTAAAAAAAAAAGAATAAAAAAAAAAATCCAGACAAATAAGGTGAAGAAGATAGTTAAACAGTTTAAAAGATAACAATACGGGTGGTGAACAAGCAAGAGGAAGTGATTCATTAAAGCCTCCAGAAAAGGTGCGTAGAATCAAGTGGGTATCTTAGAGCAGATAATGCAAGAGGGAAGAAGTGGCCACAGGCCGACACAGCTGGTTCCTGACAGAGGAAGCCCACATGGAGGCCTGGGTCCTGCTGCTTGCTGTTGTCTGTGGCTATCAACATAAGCAGCATTGCTGCTTGGTCTCCCCAGAGGCTGCAGCCCTGCAACACAAAAAAGAAGAAACACACAAACTATAACATCCAGCCACACACTTCACTTCTGAGCAGCAGTGGCAGGCAGGGCAGGAGGAGTGTTCAGATGAGAGCTCAGCCCCTCTATCAGAGCCACAAGACAAGCTGACCCGTTGCTGACATTCAGTCACACGCGCGCCAGGTTACCTCACACACGGGTTGCTGAAAAAGACAGGACACACAGCAAGAGGACCAACCGACAGAAAAGAAGAAGAAGAGGAAAAACAACAACACAGAGATGTTTCTCTAAAAGGGCCAACTGAGACAGAGGAACAAGAGTAGAAGTCTGGGATGTTATAGTGACCAAAACTTTGTAATATGTGCCGCTTTGTGCCGACAAGTACAAGGACATACCAGGAAAAAAATCTAACCAGCACTGAAGGCTTCAGTGAGAACGTGGAAGAAACATATTTGTTTCTTTTCTTTTTTATGTACAGCAAAGGCTCTTGTGTCTTTGTATGACAGTTCTGCAGGTCACACATCTGTGTATTGGGGCCTTAAAGGTGAAAATGTTGAAGGAAAACATGGCCGTTCAAGCTGAGCTGGAAAAATATCTGATCTAAAAGTAACTTTAAGCTTGATACCACTTTTTTGGTTCATATCTTGACCAACAATCTGGTAGAGACCGCCTCAGCACCTTGAAGGAACTTAACATGTCAGCGGAGGTCCATTTAGAGCGGCAAAAGAGGGAAGACTTGGGAGCCCCATCTTCATCATTCGGGACAGCGTTTGCTCCACGTGTCCCCACGGTAACACTGATCAGCCACAGAGAGCTGAGGGAGAAGCACGCTGCCCAAAGATTCCAGCCTGGATTCCTCGATCAAAAGCTTCTCTCCAGCAGTCATTACAGATGTATTGAAGGTAGGAGATTGTCTTGCGGGTCATGTTTTATGAAGTCTTCTGGCTGGGTGGTAACCTTGATGAGTGATGGAGGGTACGGGTGGTGTCTGGTCTGCTTATTAAGTTTAAGTGATTGACGGATAATCAGTTTGTGTTGACTTTGCTGTAAGGGCAACAGAGAGGTTTCTTCATATTGCAGGTAAACCTGTTAACTGATGACTGAAGCAAGAGTATCACACTTGGATTACTGGGTGAAACATTAGCCTTAATCTAGAGATACACTACCAATAAATTCAACAGTTTGCCCTTTAATATTTTAGACTTGGTATGGTCTGTCAAGTTCAAATGTTGCTAACAAGCCTGGGGAGCATATTTATCCTGTGGCACTGGAAAGGAAAAGGGAAGAGTTTTTTTTAGAGCAATGGGTGGGTGGAGGGGGTCTTCCTCTGGGCTTCCCCATACAGCTGCAGAGAACACAACTTCATTCTGAAGTTTCAGAGTTTGGCTTCAATGAATTCCTAAACTCATGCAGGTAAAGGGCTGTGCATCACCTTGAATGCCAGAGGTACATGTTTAAGGCGAGCCTGCTGCAGAGAGACATGGAACACTTGAAAGACAATCTAGAGAAAAAAAGAAGTACCTTGAAGTATAAATGAAAACCTGACTTGAATCAGAGAATATTGTGATGAGAGAGATGCATTAACAATCAGACTTTAAAAGACTAATTTTGACGGCTCTGAATATGAAGAAACCATAAGCCAGCGAGCGGACTAATACCCAACGTGGTGAATTACCTGCAGCGCGTCCCGTCTCTCTGCAGTAATGAGCTTTGTGAACGTCTCAGTGATAAGGCCTCTATAATTAGGCTTAGTCATAAGCATCACCCCCTGTATTTCTGTGATAAAACACCAGCAGAACCCTGGTGTTGGTGCAAATGCAGCTCACACATTCACATTTGTAGCTAAATAAAAATGGTCTACTTATGACCCTAAACAGCAATTTTTTTTTTCAAGCAGTTTACCTGATGTCTAAAAGTATGTGGATGAATATGTACAGTCTAGCAGCATGCTCACACTGTATGGAGAAGCAACAGCACTCTGCTCGTGCATGTGCGCGTCCACCTGTGTGTTTGCGAAGTGTTGTGAGCCACAGCGTAGGCTTCCTGTGAAGGAGCAGATGTCGCAGAGCTAAAGCACAGCTGCGACGGGCGATAACCGCAGTGGCAAGAATATGTCGGCACGCTGGCTCTTCTCCCTGGGTCTTATCAGTCGCACCCAGCACAGAGAGTCACACACAAATGCACGAGCATAGACACTTATATACACACTCCACAATAAGGAACTGCCACCTAGCTCTAGCACACCCTCCCAACAGGCCACAGCCAATGAGACGGATGGAGGAAGAGGGAGAGAGAGCAAGAAGGCAGATGAAACCATGGGACTTTGATCGAAAAGCGGGAAAAGAATCCCCAACAAAGCTTTGGCTCATGTCTGCTGTATCAAATACTTCCTAATTTTTATGCCAATCCTAATCCTCTACAGAAATGAATGTAATATCAGTGACGGTTCCATATGTCGAAAATAACTCCACTGCTTTCTTAATGTTGATAACACTTGATTATATGATCATGCATAATGGAGGTTTAGATACAATAATTATACTTTAAAAATTTCTTCATTTATGTCCCTTAAGGGTCGGTGTCATGCAACTTTTAGATGTGTCTCTGCTTCAACACACCTGAGTCAAATAATCAGGTCATTGAAGAAACCTGAAGAGTGCATGCTAAGGCCATTCAGCAGTTTGGTTCAGGGAGGGAGGAAAAGAAAAATCTTAGATTTGCAGAACAAGGGACCTTGAAGGAATTAGGGAAGTCTGCTTAAGATTTTATAACCACGTTTTTCTAAACTGCACATAATAAAAACAATATTTCTATATTTTTGTCTTAAAATTAAGACTTTATTCTGTTGACAAATTGGCAAAATTGTGCAACTCCCAAACATAGGCGTGAAATAACGACAACATTGCCCAAAAGCAAACCCTTTGTCCAGCTCATCTTTTTTCTGCAAACTAAATAACTGTTTCAGAAGCACCACTCAGCTGAACACCTTCATGAAGAGACAAGCTGCCCCTGGTAGGTCTTATTGCTCACCATTGGTAGTTTGGTGAACGATGTTATCTTCTATTCTTCCTGTGGTTTGTCTCACAGTTCTGTCAGGTCATGGGCTCTGCATTTAGTCTGATAAACAAAACTGTCACATTCACAGTGACGGCTCAAAAATTGTCACTTCTTAATGGCAAAATGTCACTGACTTGCAAGTTGCATGAAAACACAATTTTGATTTTCTTGCTAGATCATTAGGAAATACCAACAGCAGATGGGACCAAACTAAGAATGGTGAAAAAAAAAAAAGTCAGACAAGTATCTGAAAGAAGTCGTGTAATGGTCATGATGCAAGAAAAGGTCAAATTTTAAGTAAATCAGAAGAAAAGCAGCAGCTGTGCGTGTTCGGTAAGACAAGGTAGTAATGAAATGCGAGTGCCTGAGAGAAAGAGAAAGCAGTTATCCTCTTTATTTCCTCAGTAGCAGTGTTGTGGTTTCTATGAGGAACAGATGTTCACAACTTGATACAGTGCCTCATCCCCCTCTGCTCACTATCTCCAGTGCCAGCATCACCAACTGTCTGCAGACAACACACATACACACACAAATACAGAAACACACACACGCCTCATCCACTGGGAATATCTATCTATCTATCTATCTATCTATCTATCTATCTATCTATCTATCTATCTATCTATCTGTCTGTCTGTCTGTCTGTCTGTCTGTCTGTCTGTCTGTCTGTCTGTCTGTCTGTCTGTCTGTCTGTCTGTCTGTCTGTCTGTTTGTCTGTCTGTCTGTCTGTCTAAACTGATGAAATGTGATTTCAGCTTCGCCCAACCGCCTTCCCAAGTTACAGGTCTAGCTATAAAGCTACCAATATGATCAGAAAAGCTCTATATTAGTTCAGCCACTTTTTGAGAGGACTCTTTCCTTTCCATTTCTTTCTGCACTCAGGTTAAACGTCTTGTTCCTGAGTCAAGGCCTGCTTTGATCAGGTGTCACCTCCTCTTCTGTCACTTTGCAATCCCGCAGGCGCATCTGGCTATGTTCACTGAGCCCATCTTACCCTGAACAAAATACACCATGAGAGGCTCCTGTTGGAGACCTTTGTATGTTGCTTTATCTACCGTGTTAAGATGAAACAACCAGACAAGAGTTTACTGCTCATTTTGACACAAAGTGCAGCAACGAGTTAAATTTGTAAAAGCAGTATTCCAGTGTGTGTGCTGGAAGAGGACGGTCAATAATTTGCTAAATTCTGCCAGAATGCAGAGAATCTCTTTTGTTTATCTCATTATTTTGAAGTGATATAACAAAACAGCATTCAGTAAAGTAGGACACCAGTATCTTATTAAGAGAAATATCATAAAGAATAGATTTTGAGTTACTGACATCATATCTGCACAGGAAGCAAGAGATTCACAAAGAATTATCTGAACCATTTCTCTCAGAATCAAAGTTCACTTAGAGATATGATATGAAATGATATGAGATATTACACCTACATCAATGACGTCAACAGTGGCTTCATTAGACTTTGTTGTGTAGAATTTGTGCGAGTAAGGAATGGATAGCAGATGACAGAGAAGCGTAGAAACACAATGAGGCTAGCATTCTTTTCAGTCAGCTCTTATCTCTTTTTGGCACACTAGCCTGTGACTGCTGCAATAGGAAAGCATTTACAATGTGCAAGCAGAGAAATGCTGAAAACTTCTCTTTACACAGAGACAAATCATCGTCCCCCAGTGTAGAACAATGACCAGAGTCAGTTCTTGCATCTCAGAAAGTGCCCAACCATCCAGGAGATGATTTTAATGCAATAAAAGAGGCGAGGATGAGGTGTTGGCGAGGTGACAGAGAGATAGAGGAGTGAGACAAAGACTAGACAAAGGTGCCTTTGTCATTAACACCATCAAAGAGACTTCCAGTCACAGCATTACGCTGCAAAGAGTTCATCGAGGCGAGTTCTTGCCTTCGGTGTGTCTCATTGTGCAGTTTATCAGGTTGCCCACATGGAGCATTGGAGGTAACCTGGTGACCGCACAACAAAAGGCCAAATTAAGAGAAGTAAGAGACTGTCTGTACAGAGAGGCTGACAGGTTGACTGACATTGTTCCCATGGAGAATAGCATCCTGTCAATCTCAGAGCTGTCACCTTGACAGGAATCCTTTCTTTGGATGCAGCCCTCATTGCCAACCTTTCTGTCAGTCAAGGCCACACGGATACACTTCTACCGTTTTTCAGTATTCTGCACAATGAGAACCCGTGCCCTCTCCACTGACAGACTAAGAAGAATGACACACACACCCTTACAAACAAACACCAACACACAAAAATGCTTGTATAATGAACAGTGTTGATGTCTGGATATTTCTAACACAGTAGCCTAAAAGCTGTTTAAGGGTTTTTTGCTGGACTTATGTGCATTAACTCTTTGATGTGAACAAAACGATGCTTGAAGTATTCATATTAATTGATGTCTTACTTTACTCCCCACATTTACCTTCAGCTTTGACTATTCCAGAGATGTGGTGCAAAAATTGTATTTTCTGAAGTTTGCAGCCCACCTTAACTTTGCTAGATGTAATACCCATGCGTCTGTGAACAGGTATGCTGGACCTCTGTTTTACTCAAAGTGACTGTGTTTTGATATCTTTGTTTAGAATGTAAGCAGTCGTTTTGTAGATAAGACATTTTTTACCTTAAGATATTTTCTCTCATTGTGGATGCAGGTAACTTATCCTCATAAAGGTAGTGTTCATGTTCAGCCTATTGGAGGCTGGTGAGACTGGTGTCGGGGCTCAGCAGCTGCCTGTGTGTACTTTACAAGCTGGTTCTGTTTGTTTTTTTAGACACAGGTAGGGTCAGGACGGTGTCAGCTTTGTCTTCTGCCCCCCTTCATGGCAGTGTGCATGC